ATCTATTTCATCAATGAGATATGGAGGCACAAATATATAGGACAAGTTGTTCAAGATACACTATTATTAAGTGATAGAGCTACTCCCTGGGCTGGAGTCCCAGGGAGAAGACTAAGAGAAGCAATTCTCAAGAAGCTAAATTTTAAGCTTGAAGTGACTAAGACAATCCTGGGGTTGGTTCGATTTTGTTTTGCCATCACAAAATGGAAAAAAAGTGTTAACTAGCTTTAGAAATATAAAATAAAGAAAGTTCCTTAGCAGTTTTTTTTTCTGAGTCAAAGTCTTGCTGTCAATTATGATATATACAAAAAATTGTATTTTTTTCTTATTATTTTTTGAGATGGAGTCTCATTCTGTCACCCAGGCTGGAGTGCAATGGTGCCATCTTGGCTCACTGCAACCTCTGCCTCCTGGGCTCAAGTGATTCTCCTGCCTCAGCCTCCTGAATAGCTGGGACTAATGGTGTGTACCACCACACCCAGCTAATTTTTGTATTTTTAGTAGAAATGGGGTTTTGCCATGTTGTCCAGGCTGGTCTCAAACTCCTGGCCTCATGTGATCTGCCTGCCTTGGCCTCCCTAAGTGCTGGGATTATAGGCATGAGTCACCACGCCCAGCCAATAAATTGTATTTTGACTAATAGCTGTGGCTTTTGGTTTATAGCCCCTTTCTATTACCTATTCTATTTTCAGCTGACCCTCGTACTGCTTTATATATAGTGGTCATTAAATATAGATATATTAAGACTATCTAAATAAAATTTTTGGAATAATGGCATTTTCCTGGCAACCCCCTTCCCTAAGTGGACCTTGTTTTCTAAAGTGATTTTCAACTCTTTTACACAACTCTCTGTGTTTCTGTGTTGAAGCATAAGAAATCCACTTGAACCCTGAAAACATCATGATTTTTATTTTACAAGCATCTAATAAATTACCACTGGAAAATATTTTGGATTTATCCAATTTTTCTGTCTCTATTTGAATAAATAAATTTACCGAATTTACTGAAAAAATGATGGCATATTGCACATTTAAAAGAAAATGAGATCATAGTTAAAGTTTAAACTCATCAATTATCGCGTTGTCTTTGGGCCAACTCATCATTTCCACTTCTGTGACTTTTCCCTTGTAGGTCATGCCCAATACGTTTCATCCTTCATTACTTCCTTCCTTTGTAAATACACAGATGTTTATTGGTAACTAATAAGGGCCAGGCACTGTGCAATGGATAAAGTGGTAAATAAGACACTGACTCTGCCATGGAAGAGCCAACGGTCTATAGGAGGAAATCAAGGCCTAAGGGCACAGTCCATTTCATTATTGAGTAGCAAACTGACCCCATCAAAGTTGGTGTATGCAGACTTCTTGGCACCTCAACAAAGAGCAACAAATGCAAATTGTTAGAGGGCTGGAGAAGGTCACAGGAAACGCTCTGAACAAAGTCCTAACTTGACTGAGAACTGTGATAGCAACATCATTACCCAGGTATCCATGGCAGGGAAAGAGTTCCAGGTGAAAGCCTGGAGGTTAGAAAGTCATGGTTTACTAGGAAAAGAAACAAAATTCAGCACAGCTGCAGGAGTGGGTGAGCATGGTATGATGAGAGGTAAGTCTCCCCCCTTCTCTAGATTCCTGGGAATAATTCAAATAAAGACTTCTCCATGAAGCCCTCTCCATCTCAGCTCTCAGTGACCTCTCAATTCTCTGAACCTTCTAAGGCTTTATGCACTTCCTAATAAAGCCTCCTTTAGACATCTGTGTTCACCTCCTGGTTTAGCAGAGGTTACAGCTATCTTTTCATGTTCTTTGGAAGCTCTGGTTGTACACAAATAAAAGAAATAAAAAACAGATCATTACGATTCCTTCACCTGATCTCCATCATGATACCTTTCTTCCCTTCTCCCTTAAATGCCAGAAAATTCAAATGTTCCTGGTATAGATTTAGAGTTTCTTAACTTTCGTGGTACAAGGTAGCAGTGAATCCCATGCAACCCCTTTTGTAAATATGGGAATTTCACTTGATGCAGAACATTTATCATATATGTATATTTTTATTTCAGAATGCACATATCACAGAGACTCTATTTTATTAATGATCTTTATACCACCAGTGAGAATAATAATAATAATGTTATTGTGATTTATTTTAAAAATAAGCTATTTTTCTTGAGGAAGTTGCATAAATTCTGGAGTTAATTTTACCAAATATTTCATAGAGCTTATGAATTAGTGTCCCAAAGGATTTGAGTGATTTCCTCTCTTTTCAGCGAAAGCAGACAATTTTTATCCTTTTGCATCAAAATAATAATGCTTTGTATGGTCTAACATTTCTATATAAACATGTGTGTTCCATATTTTTTCCTAAGCCAAGAAATTTTAAAAATGGCCGTATCTTAATTTCAAAAATAGTTACACTTTACTTTCAAGTGCCTACTAGTATCTCCTCGTAGAGCATATGTTTTCCCACTTACAACATGGAAAAGAAACAATAGCCCATGGATTCTAACCCAGCTCACAAGGAAATTTCCTACCTATAATTCTTTCAGAAAAATTCTTAATTGAACTGTTAAACATTATGAGTTGATCCTTTATTAAGCCAATATGGATCAAAAATCAGAATAAGTGTCCATTTTAAATGAGCTTGCCTTGTGATTTTGTGAGAAGGTAGCACTTGGATTAAACAATTTTCACAGATGACTGTAGCCGTTCTAGCATGCTCACTTCAAGCTGACAGTGTTATTTTCCTCTAATCAGAAGATATCTCCCTCACAATTTGAAACAGCCTCTGGGGATTTTTTTTAGATATGGCATTTTACACTATCTGATTCAACCTATGTCTTTCCTATCTATTGACTGTAATGAGGTCTAAGTTTTTCTCTAGACTTGGCTGATTCCTGCCATTCAACCTTCTTTACATAGTGAGGAAAGGCATATGACCACAGTGGATGACACAGCCTCTGTAGGAAGAAATCACAAGCTAATCTTGGGTGGACCATAATTCCATGGAGTTTAAAATAAGAGTTCATTAGAATATAATAGGAAGGAATGGGATAGAAGAAAACAAGAATGAGGAAAGTGATCTAAACAGACAGAAAGACAGTTTAACATGGAAGTTATCCTGAGGTCATCAAATTAATATTTTCTTCATTTTGATTAATATTTTCTTCATTTCTTCATCTGTCATTTAGGTAGCAGGGAGAGGATGGACCACCTCTTTCATTCATTCGTGCACCGTTAATTTAGAAAAAAAATCAACATTTTCATTTTAAGGATTAATAACAATGATAACAAGCTGAGCAGCTGGGCACAGTGGCTCACACCTGTAATCCTGGCACCTTGGTAGGCCAAGGTGGGTGGATCACCTGAGGTCAGGAGTTCGAGATCAGTGTGGCCAACATGGTGAAACCCCCATCTCTACTAAAAATACAAAAATTAGCCAGGTGTGGTGGCACATGCCTGTAGTCCCAGCTACTCAGGAGGCTGAGGCAGGAGAACCACTTGAACTGGGGAGTTGGAAGCTGCAGTGAGCAGAGACTGTGCTACTGCAGTCCAGCCTGGGCAACAGAGTGAGATTCCGCCTCAAAAAACAAACCAATAAACAAGCTGAGGGATGGTAAATGACTTGCTCTGGGTCCCTAAAATTGGTGGCAATGCTGAGATAAGAATGATTTCGCTCCCAATACAAGATTATGTTAATTTCCCAATAATTTTATATGCTTCAAAAGTATTTTCTATTTTCCAATGAGCAAGAAAGAAAGATATTAAATGGGAATTACCATTTTGGTTATTTCTGACATTATTTCTAGAATGTTATCAAAAAAAGAGAGATTGAACAATTCATTTTTGCAATGCTTTGTGGAGAGAAGGAGCTTAACTGCTGTATTTTAATACAAAAGATTGCCCACAGAAGCGCTGCATTACACAGTAAGTGCCACGAGAAGGTTAACTACCCCGCAGGTTGTGCGTCTGGCAGAGAAACTCAATGATTTCTATACAAAGCTCACAAACGAAAGTCTTCATTTATTCATAATATTCTAACATATTCCGTACTGTTTTTTTTTTTAAGACAAGCAATGCATGGCCTTTTAGTTTTATGCCATTACTTAAAATATCTGGCGAAAATTGTTCATCAATCTCTGATTCTATTATTACACTCAAGAGTAGGTTAACTACTATCACCTGGGGTCATTTTTTTAGCAGGAAATATTTAATAAATTACTACCAGAGCTATCTGGCAGGGAAGACATGACTTAGAGTTTCTAAAACATGACTAATGTGAATTATTTCCATAACATAAGATGGTAATAACAACAAAAAATGACAGAGCTTGCCAAGTCAAACTCATTTTACCAGCAAGGCACTTATTTTCAGAGAATGATCTCTTTTTAACACTCTTCACAATACAAGAAGCAGAAAGCCATTCACCACAGATGCTTTAACACAAACAGAGTTGCAGGGAAGGGTTATTTTTTCAATAGTCAAATATGATAAGAAAGTAAAATTTTAAATTTGTTGTTAGGTAAAATTCCACCTATATGGCCGAACAATCCTCATGTGGAATGAAATGTAGTCCTCTCACTGGTTTCAAATACTAAACTGGAACTTTAGTCAGCTAGCAAGTTTCTTCTTGTAAAAATGAAGAAAAATCTTTGCATTTTGACAAGGGCTATAATTCTTGTACCACTCCACTAATCCTTACTCTATTATTGAGTAATGCCTTATATAAAAATCTAATTATTCTTACAGCCTCTGTGGAGTTTCTATTTATCTATTTTGACCAATTAGCATTTCCCCATGAGCTGCTCCAGTTCCACAAAACCAAACTGAGTATTCTAAGTGGAGTCTGATTTTATGTTATCCTGCTGTTTTGTTCAACTACAGTCTAAAAACATTTCCCGTGAAATCCTCAAATACAAGGAGAAATGGTTGAAATGTGGGTTCTTACTTTTATGTTTCTCTTTATTGTGCCTCGTAACTTAGCTCTGCCCCTGGACTCCTGAATCTGCCCTGATGGAGATAAATCATCCCCTCTTTTAGTTTGGAAATGCCTCAAGGACCTCAGTTTCTGCTTAGTCCCATAAGTGGCTACACTTTATGAAATACGTGTTGTCACAGGATTGACAAGTGCTATTATAAAAGTAAGAATTCATGATGATGCAATTCTGCAAAGACTGTGAGTCAAAATTACCAACACTTTTGGAAGGGCTATTCAGAAGAAAGGCCACCAATTTATCACCTTGGGAATCACAGAAACAGCCAACGATAAGGTACAAAATAATGTCTCAACTTCTTAGACCCCAAAGCCACTCTACGATCTCTAGTCATAGAAAAGAAGCATGTTGGCAATTGAACAGGAGTCCTTGTTAATTTCATTTTTATTCCATTACACACCTCATGTAACATTCAAATTTACATAGAATTCATCACGATAAAACTGATTAAATGAGAACAAAAAATGTAATTGAATGGCCATAAGAAAGGCAATGTCCTTATTGTCGCAGGAAAATGATTTAACACCTGCAATCTACTGGCCATTCTATCTCCCCAGCTCTATGTCCGATATGAAAATGAGCACTGATCATATACATCTGAACCCTCAGACAAACTAGGCCACACCTACAGCACATAATGCAAATGATCTAAAATGAATTGAAAATAGGTATCTTTTCCTCCAATCCCATTTTATTGGGTCTTCACGGAAGAGCCACAATATCAGGCCTAAACAATCTGGGTTGGGTTTTGAAAGAGTTCAGCAGGATGGGGATGATCTTTTCTCCCCTGTCACCAGGCCCCCCTGCTTTTGAATAGCACTTTTACTTTCTCAATCCCTTCTGCATGTTTCTGACCTTTAAATGCCCCAAAATAGGTAGTAAGAGAGAGAAACTTATCCACAAATTACATATGAAGAAGGCTTAGGTGGAAGAGTTCACATGAGCCATCTTGAAGTCAAGCTTTAAACCAAGAGTACAAGACCCAAGTAAAGTTGAGTTTAAAAGTAGAGTAGAGGCTGGGCACGGTGGTTCACGCCTGTAATCCCAGCACTTTGGGAGGCCAAGGCGGGTGGATCACGAGATCAAGAGATCGAGACCATCCTGGTCAACATGGTGAAACCCCGTCTCTACTAAAAATACAAAAAATTAGCTGGGCACGGTGGTGTGTGCCTGTAATCCCAGCTACTCGGGAGGCTGAGGCAGGAGAATTGCCTGAACCCAGGAGGCGGAGGTTGCGGTGAGCCGAGATCGCGCCATTGCACTCCAGCCTGGGTAACGAGAGTGAAACTCCGTCTCAAAAAAAAAAAAAGTAGAGCAGAAGACTCAAGGGTACGCTTGCCTGTACCTTGGTAAGAAGCTTGGAGTGGATGTTATCACTTCATTCCCAAAGAGGTGGGAGTGTCTTGAAGCATTGTATTGGAACTGTACTGACCTGAGGTGGCAGCCTGAGTTTGTGACTTGTCTTTCTCCTAAAAATGGACAGCAGATCACACATGGTCCTGCGCAGTACCCTAGGAAGTATCATGTGCTGAGTTTTACTCAAATGAAAATTTTTCAAAGGCTGAAAGCTTCCTCCTTTTTTGTCTTCAATATAACTATCATTGCCTCATTTTGAGTCTTTTTACTGCTCTGAAATCATCAATGTGTTCTATTGTTATGATGTCACCAATCACCTTATCTCCCAAGTCAAGTAAATGCCAATGTCTGGTTTGTTTGCACTAATCTCATGACCAAAATATCAACAAATGTACTGACCTTGAAAACATCTCTGATAAAATTGTTAAAACTAGATACTGTTTTGCGGGGGAACTGGAGGCCTACAGCAGGCTTCACACCTCTGGATGTTTGCTGATTTCTGAATTCACAATGGCTAACTCCAGCATCTCAGCTCACAGGTAGTGGCCAGTCAAGGTTATACAACAGTATAATTCAGCATTTGAACAATGAATATCTTTATTTTTCTCTCAATTTTGTGCTTTCATAATATTCCATCCAGTCATGATGTAGGTTGGGGACTGTCAGGACACCCCCTTTCCTTTTTCTTCTTCACAGTTTCTTGTTTAGTTGATGAGAGAAGGAGGCAGCAACAAAATCCTCACCAAACTGTCAACAAGATAAGAGTGATACTACTTGAAAAAAACCTCGGGCTTACACTTGATATTTCATTTCTATTTCTTGGACACTCATGTAGAGAACTCTTTTCTCTCTACCTCATTTTCCCTCTTGGTCAATTGCAAACATCATCACTGCAAAGGGAGATGGTGACATCATCACCCATGATATTCTCATGCACTTTTTGTATGCAACCAGGAGGAAGGAGGCACAGGTAGCAGGGAATAGGATGCCAGTTACTTGGAGGGCTTGGTCTTGCCTGTCCCCATGGGTTCCATGGTGCATCCATGACTTCAGGGGCAGAGCTCTCCTTCCCACTCTGGCCATAAAACATCATAGGTTAAATAAAAATAAGATTCTTGCATTGGTTAAAGAAAAGAATTTCATTTGTCAATATCTGCTTAATAAATTGTCCCAAAATGCAGTGGCTTAAAACAGCATCTTATTTTCTCACATTTCTGCAGGTGTGGAATTCAGATGATGCACAGCAGGAATCCTCAAGGTGGGCTCTTTGCTCCCAAGTGCAATGGGCTGCTGGGATGGCTCTCTGAGGGTCATATGTCTGGAGCCCCAGTTTTCCTCCAATGAATGGACTCCTCAACTCTTCTCTATGTGACGTAAGGGCCTCGACTTCTTTACACAGACCCCTGTGTGGTCTCCACATGGTCGGTTTCAGCAAGGTAGGTAGGCTTCTTATAGGGCAGCTCAAAGCTCTAAGGTGCTACATCAGAAGCTGCTACAACATCTTAAGGCTGAGCTCCAGAACCTGCACAGCACCACTTCTGCCACATTCTGTTGGTTTAAGCAAGTCACAGGCTCAGCCCAAGGGGAGAAAACTACACAGGGCATGAACCTTGGGAAGTGCAGTTTATGGGGCCACCAAAGCAGCCAGCTGTCGCAGCAAGGGAAAGGGAGCCGGGGTGCTCGAGTATCCTTCGCCTGAAGTGCCTGCTATGAGCAATGCACTCTTTCCCTGACCACCCCTTACCTTTCTTTTCCTTGGCCACATGTGTGCTTGCTGCTTGGTGGCGTGTGGAAGCCAGTTTGTCAGATCTGATTTTGTGCATCTCTCTTTTTCTTTCTCTCTCTCTCTCTCTCTCTCTCTTTCTTTCTTTCTTTTTGAGATTGAGTCTCACTCTGTCACCCAGGCTGGAGTGCAGTGGTGCAATATTGGCTCACTGCAAACTCTACCTCCCGGGTATCAGCAATTCTCCTTCCCCAGACTCCTGAGTATCTGGGACTTGAGGTGCGTGCCACTGCACCTAGCTAATTTTTGTATTTTTAGTAAAGACAGGGTTTCACCATGCTGGTCAGGCTGGTCTTGAACCCCTGACCTCAGATGAGTTGGCCTCTTAAAGTGCTGGGATTACAGGTGTGAGTCAACACACCTGACCTCTACATCTCTTTTCAACTCCACATTCAGTGACCTCACTTTGGAAGCTTGAAATTGGCCATGAAGCGAATATTCCTGTCATAGGGAATTGGGAAACACTCCAAATCAGAGCTTGTTATGTTGTTTGCTTTACTGTTTATTCTAGATTATCAGTTTTCCAAAACCCCACTGTGCCCACTCCACTCCCATCCTGCCAAACCTTCCTTTCTATCTCTCAGGTTCATAAAGGATGGCCTGATAATCATGAAAGGTGTTTCCCTACCATGGGTAGGATCATTATACAGTGAACTAGGCGTGGGCCTTTAATTTTTAATTTTATTATTTTTTAAAGATGGGACTTGCTCTGTTGTCCAGGCTGGAGTATAGTGGCACCATCATAGCTCACTGTAGCCTCGAACTCCTGGGCTCAAAGGATCCTCCCACTTCAGCCTCCTGAGTTGCTGGGATGACAAATGTGAGCCACTGCAGCCAGCTTAGAGATGGACTTTGGTTTACACACTAATTCAATTTCAAATCTTAGGTCTACAGTCTTGTGTGTTCTCAGGCAAGTCATTTAACCAGGCAAATCTCAGGTAAAATATGTAGCTATGAGTATGAAGTAAGTTGAAATACATTTTTCGAAGGTAAAAACGAAAATCCCAAAGATTTGATATTGTTAGTTCTGATCCTTCTTCTAAGAATGTTTTTTGTCCGGTTGGTTGGTTGGCTGGTTGGTTTTCCTGAGGGTGGGGTTTGAAGTGCCACAGAAGACAATGAAACCGAGGTTCGGGTTGGGGTCCTGGCCAGCGTTCTCTTCTCTACCCACAGCTATTCCTGGTAGTAGCAGCAGTCACCCAAGGCTCTGCCTGGGAGAGCAGGCACAATGCCCCAGCTTTGCTGCAGGGCCACCTGGACCTGCCTTCCTGGAGAGGCTGCACAAGTGATGGTGGCACATGTTGAAGCTGATAGGCCACTCCCCCAACACAACAACTCCACCCGCTTCATCCCTGCATGGCTGAGTTTCCACAGTCGATTCATTTTTGTGAGCAGGACAGTCTCATAGGGTTACCCTCTAAATTTCCTAGATACTTTCCTCCCAGAACAGTAGGAAAGAGAGCCCAACATGTCTTGCATATCTAGGATCAGAATTAAAACATTTACAAAGAGATTACTGCAATAGTCCAAAAAGACAACCTATTCTCCAAAACAAAACAATAGCCTTTAATAGTGCTGTACTCACAAATGCATTCTAGAAAACTCATTTTATTTAACATAGCTAGCAATTACCTCTTCACACTAATAATTTTAACCCTGATGCACAAGGATAATAGAAATATCCCAGAGTCATCCATTTATACATTACAGTATGCAAATCGTTAATGGTCATTCAGAAATCCGACTTAGATGGCACCCCCACCAAGGAGAGGAATCCGATGCATTTCTGTTATTTTCCTCACTACTTGTTGCTGCTGCCGCCAAACCAGGAACTGACTCTGTTTATCAGTATTAGAGCTTGCCTCTCAATAGAATAGCAGGTAGAAACATCTAATCTTGATGAGTAGATCTGCGCCATCTCAAATTATAAACTTACGGCTCTGATACGTCGGCTATAAAATCCTGAACATGAGCCAAAAAATGTCCATTGAAATGACTTGTTTTCAAGGAACCTGCTCCCACTTAACAAAATACACGGAGTACTCGCAGCCAATGCGGCGCAAAAAGTTAAAGTGCAATAAAACAAAGTGAAATATACAGCTTCAACTGCCCCATCAATGGAACAAGAGTTCTGGTGTTGATTATTTTGACTGGCGGTGGGGGGTGGGGAGGGAAGATATGTTGAGTGAATTACATTTTAGTCCCACAGGCATTTGCAAAATATACGACCAATCTGCAAATAGATGTGGTTTTTGGTTGTGCTTTTTAATGAAGTAGAAAAGAAAAACAGATTTTTGAATTTTAGCCAATGATACTAATCTAACTTGCTAGAAACACAGTGGGTTTATAATCAATATTTGTATGGACCTTGCCTGTCTAAATTGACTTTTAAGTGGAATGTTCAAATGCATGACTCAGATCACTCTTAATCACTATTAAAATTAAAGCCAGGTACTGTAGTTAGAAGGTCGTGGTGTCATATTTTCACAGCTTTCATCGAGGCACATAAGATGCAGTTTCCTTTAATACAGGAAGAGTAAAAAATTGTACAAACAGGTAAGATGAGCTTAATGTGAGTGAAAACAAAACCTTGAATTTTTCACATAATTCTATATCCACAAGCTCAAGAGTGAGTATAGGAAGTAAAATGAAAAGCAGCAAATTGCCCCCTTCACTGTATAACATCCATATGTAGTAGATTAACTGCCAGTTGATACACAAGAAAGGAGGTAGACTCATGGGTACCTTGTTAACCTAATTAAAGCTTCACGGATACATAGGTTTCTCAAGACTAAAGTTTCAAGGATCCCTTGTGTTAATGAACATACAAGCTGGCCTGATCACTGAAAATGTCATCACTGACACTAGAGGTTACACTTGTCCTCAGCAAGTTCTTGCAGGTTATGTAACAAAGATGACTCCTGTTCTAATGATCATCCACACAATTTAAAAATAATTGTACTTCTGAGGCTGCTGCTGATTGATCTACTACAATCTTCAAACCTTTAGCAAACCTCAATCTTCTCTTTTTTTAATAAAGTCCCTGAGTCATCTACTGCATTGAGACTCAAATACATGAATCATTGTAAATGACACATTTTCTTATTAGCTGATATGGTAATTCCTCCAACATTCACAATTTTTCACATTGCCTTTAAAAGGGTTGCCAGCGCTAAACTGTTAAAGATATGGCTGGAAAGATTTACCATAAGCAAATGTATCGAAGAACTCTGAAAAGTCAATGTAGCTGGTTTTCTAGTATCACAGATAAAAGTAGATTAATAGTTTAATTAAACATGTTAGAGGCTCTGGGTATTGTAGCTATTACACCTTTGACCTCAGGGGAGGCTGTCAGCATTGTAGGGAGTGTGAGTACTGAGGTTACATATTGATGATGTGCAGCTGACTCAAAAACTATACTAAGCTAGACAGAGCTTGTAATTAACCAAAAGATCCAGTAAATTATGAGATCAATACAATTTCCTGGGTGCCATAGTTTTCAGAACTAGTTAGTGCATTCCTAATTTATTGGCAAAAATTTCATGGACTTGCAAGGAAGATAAATAAAAATGCCTGGATGTAAAAATAAATATGTATGCTTGACAAATCTGAAATACACTGTTTACAGCTAATGAGGAGGTGACTGTGCATTTTGCTGCATGTTTTATATCTAGAGCAGGGCAGAACATTAAAACCAATATAACTGATAACCTTGGTGCAAACAGCATAAGCCTACATTTCGCATTATTCCCCAGAGATGAAATTAATTAGTGCTTGTCAAAACCAGAGCAATCCTCTGCTATAAAACTAAAAGTAATGGAGAGGCTACGAATACCTTGGCTCAATTCCAAAAATATTTCTCATCTCTTTAGGAGAAAAATACTGCATACATCTAAATATGCAGCATATCTACTTCTTTTATCCCTGATACCTCATAAACACACCACACACACACACACACACACACACACACACACACACACACACACTCTTTCTGGCTACCGTTCAACAAATACATGTAAAATGCCTACCATGTGAGGATGCAGAGAATAAAAAGACATTAAGGGTTCACAGTTTAGTGGACAGCAGAGACTGACAGAGGGCACATTTCAACTCAAGGTGTTAATGATTATGGGAAAACATGCTATGAGTTATGGAGACTCTGAAGGGCACCTCCCTGAACTCTCAGGGAGGTCAAGGGGAGGAATGGCTAAGTAAGGGACTTCTAAACGTAATGATAATTCTATTATTGATGACTCATCTATTTAACAAAGTCTTTCATCAAAGTGGTTGCGGCCAGGCATGTTGGTTCACGCCTATAATCCCAGCACTTTGGGAGGCTGAGGTCGCCAGATCATGAGGTTAGGAGTCTGAGACCACCGTGACCAATATGGTGAAACTCTCGCTCTACTAAAAATACAATAATTAGCTGGGCATGGTTGCAGGTGCCTGTAATCCCAACTACTCGGGAGGCTGAGGCAAGAGAATCGCTTGAACCTAGGAGGCAGAGGTTGCAGTGAGCCAAGATCGTGCCATTGCACTCCAGCCTGGGAAACAAGAGCAAAACTCCATCTCAAAAATAAAGTGGTTGAGATGCCTTCACACTCACTGCCACTCCCTGTTGGACTGCCTCCCCTCACCTCTGTATCCTAACTAGCTCATTTGCATCCTGCAGGTTCCAGCTCCAGGTCCCCTCTCCTGTGAGTCCTTTTATAATTCCCCTCCCAATTTAAATTAAGTTCCAAATCCTTCTCCTTCCATTCTCCCTTACAGCATCTTTCCCCCTGTGATCTTACCATATTTTGTAATTATTATAGTTTTTTTACTTTAATAATTATTATTGCTACTTAGTGTGGTCCATGTCTCAGTCACCTCTGAGCTTTTTAGAAATGCAGAACCATCCCAGCACTTTGGGAGGCTGAGGCAGGCAGATCACGAGGTCAAGAGATCGAGAACATCCTGGCCATCAGGGTGAAACCCCGTCTCTACTAAAAATACAAAAAAATTAGCTGGGTGTGGTGGCATGCGCCTGTAATCCCAGCTACTTGGGAGGCTGAGGCAGGAGAATAGCTTGAACCCGGAGGCGGAGGTTACAGTGAGCTGAGATCGCACCACTGCACTCCAGCCTGGTGACGGAGTGAGACTCTGTCTCAATAAAAAAAAAAAAAAAAAAAAAAAGAAATGCGAAACCACCACCCCAACACCAGACCCTAGTAAATCAGATCTGTAAGTCACAAGATCTATAGATGATTCATATGATCATACAAATTTAAGAAGAAATAAACTAGATGTGCACTCCTTTACATTTCAGTACGGTAGTCACAAATCACATATGGCTACTCTAATTAAAATTAATTACAATTTTAAAATCTATTTCTCATACCCAATAGCCATGGTTCATGTACTGGACAGGGCACACATGGAACATTTAAGGGCAGAACTTTCTATTGGATGTGATAGACTGTAATCTCCTTGAGAACAGGGCTGGTTTCCTTTCTCACTACTGAGCACCCAGTAATCTCAAGTATTATACTCAGAACACTGAGGAAAAGCACACAAAAGTTTTCCTTAAATATCCTGAATGGAAATATGCTAAAGTACTTCAAAAATATATCTGGCCTACAGAAGGTGAAAAATAAATCCTATTTCCCTTCCCCTTTACATGTGATATTCAGAACATTGCTGGGACATAGACCATGAACAGGTACTAAAAGCAGGCTACATTAGAAACCAGCAAGCTTTTAACATTTTTATGTTGTTGTTGTTGTTGTTTTTTTTTAAGTAGAGATTCTTGGGCTTCCACTTATGAAGACTGGGATTTGGTGGGACTGAGGGTTCATACTTCTGCTATGAGTTAGCCACCTAGTTTTAGACTTGCGAGTCTGGAGAGTTGAAATTCCATTCTTTCTCCAAGGAGCTGGTTTGATTTCTCCCTCCCTGATGAGTAACTAATAAAAATAATTGTCAAGTGTTTAAAAATGATGTAACAGAATGTTCAGAAGCAAGTTCCAGAAAATTAAACCCAAGCTGTCTTAAGAAAATGAAAGACAATATATAGATACCTACATCCGAAAAGGCCAGGGTGGGGGTTAGAATCAAATGTTAGAAGGGTCTCGTGTCTTCCTGTCTTTCCAAATTTCCCATACATCAAGTTCATTCTGGAACTCCATGTGGTAGTGACGGTGGCTTTATAGGTATATTTTTACACTGCTGATAAAGACATACATGAAACAGGGTAATTCGTAGAAGAAAGAGGTCTAATGGACTCACAGTTCCATGTTGCTGGGGAGGCCTCAAAATCATGGCAGAAAGTAAAAGGCACATCTTACGTGGCGGCAGGCAAAAAGTGAACTTGTGCAGAGAACTCCCCTTTATCAGACTACCAGCTCTCATGAGACTTATTCACCATCACAAAAACAGCATGGGAAAAACCCAACCCTCATGATTCAATTACCTCCCCTGGGTCCCTCCTACGACATATGGGAGCTGCAGTTCAAGATGAGATTTGGGTGGGGACACAGCCAAACCATATCAGCGGCCAAGATCTCCAGAGCTCTCTTCTTCCAAGTCATAATCAGCAGGAAAGGGCAGATGGGCCTCTGTCTCAACAGTCTCAGTGAAAGTTATTATGCATGTCATTGGCTTTGGCTGGAGAGTTTCCCACCTCTGATGCCTCACAATGCATCAGGAGAATATGTTGTGTGAATTGGCCAGGCCTGAGTCCCATGCCCACCCATGAACCTACCCCATCTGAAGAACCTGGAGTGAGAATGAAAGCAAGGGTATGCTCCCCCCAAAAAAGTCAGACTGGTGGTATCAGGAGAAAAGTGAACAGATTTGGGGTGACAAAAACAACAGATGTCTACTACATGCCACTTAACTTCCTGTAAAATGAATGAATGAATGAGTGAACGAATGACTGTGTGTGTGTGTATGTGTGTGTGTGTGTAAAATAGAACAAATTTTGAAAATTCACTAGCATGCTTAACTAGCATTACTAATCACTAATCACCATTTAGGGCTATGCAAGTTCCTGACATGAGGAATGAAGAAATTCTAATCTGGACCCAAAGCTAATACAATTATAAATACGAATAGTCCTTAAAATGTCTATTATTTCATCTGTTCAGAGAAAATTCATAAGCACAGACCAAAATCTACAGACCCAAAGGAGACTCAGCTTCATGTCGCCAGTGTAAGTCTTACTATTTCCTTTCTATTTCAGCAGCTTAGTGAGTCCTGGATCCTTCTCAGCATCCTATGTGTCTGTTTGCTATAGTGGGTCAGAGACTCAGGTTACTAACTGGTCTTTACATCCCTGCAGGAATGATTTCCTTACAAAATATTGTTGTGTTCCCTCTCTGGGACAATATTTTCAGTTGACAAGGCACACCAGGGCAAAATGAAATAACTCAGTCCAACGATTCAATGTAACACTACAAGCCAAGACTGTAGCAGTGGCTGCAAATTTTCAGAATCTAATTTTGAGACAAGCAGCTCACAGGCTCAACCTCACTTGCTGTTAGCACTCACAAATTCTAAGTGCAATCGTTCTGCCATGAAGCAGAAAATCTAACCCACAAGCTGTTTTGTTCAAACACATGTTCCCATGATTCCATCTCATATTATTGATCAAGACTCTCTAGATGTCACTTGGTGGGCAAGTGGTATTTCTCAGTCACAGGATACAAGAGCTGGAAGGGACTTTAGACAGCAACCAGGCAGTATTTTCAAACTTTTCTCCATTAAGGATTCTATGAACATAATGCATGGTAGAGGCCTCTCCTCGTATTCTTTAAGATGATCAATAACACTTTTGATTAGCACAGTTGAGAGCCAATGAATTTCCTTTCCATGGGAGATGCTAAAAATGGCCACAGTCTCCCCATCCCTTGCATTCTTATATTTGTCATGTGGTGTCACAGATCTTTCTACCAACAGGTGGGATATATTCCCTCATCTCTTAAATCTGGCCACGTCTTTCCTGGGCCTATGTTTCATTAGAAATTACGATGAAAGTAAAAGCTTGTGAAGAACACTGGGGCTTAATCTTGCTGGTTTAGGAACTAAGGTACCATATGAATAAGTATGAGCACAGCTGGAGAGAGGCCAAGTATAGGAGAAACAGTGTGCTCAGCCAACACCATGACGTAGAGCTGATGCTATCCCAGGTTTTCCAGCAGCCAGCTACGAGACTGGCTGACAACCACTGCAAAGCAGAGCCCAGGCAGAGATCAGCTGAGCCAGCCCACACCAGAGCATGTGCTACATAAAATGATTGCTGTTCTAAGCCACTAAGTTGATTTTGTTATACAGCAAAAACTAGCTTATACATTTTTCTTTCTCATAAAACACACCTCAGATCTTCAGGACCAAGATAAGAGAAGGGATAGAACTAAAAGCCAAAGTGATCATGTGACTCTTTCCAAGTCACGCCTTCACAGATCCACGGCTGGAACCTTGATCTCTTCACTCTCAGTCAAAATCTCTCTCTATCACACTTCAGACTTGCAGCATACAATATGGCAGTCAATATATTGACTAACAAGGAACAAAGGACTGAGTCTGAGGTCACGGCCCCAGGATTTCTAGTTCCCAAGGCATGTTTCATGTGTCTTTATTTCCAAATTGCAGTCTTTAACATTTGTTTCAGGAAGCTTATACAAGTTATAAAAAAATGTCTCAGATCTATTTAGGTCATTTACGAAAAATGAGTTTGTGAAGATATGCCACAGCAACACACAATCAGGAGGTTTTTGCCTAGAATAGCGTCCTTAACATGGGAGAAACAAGTATTTAAAAGCAAAAGTGACTTTAATTCCTAAAGGCTTTGCTTTCTGGAGGCCCTGAGTCTGTCCATGGATGTTCGTGTAGCATCAGGATGGAGACTGAAAGGGACAACTGAACAGAAATAGGAGAGGGCTCTGTTTCTGCCTCTGTTTGACGACACCATCGTCGTGTTAGTAGGGGACAACGTCATGCCAGCCAGAACTTTCTTGGCTTTATGGCTGAAAGCTCATCAGTATTGCAAAACTCTGAGAGGGAAAAGTAGTTATTTAACCCTATTTAACGGTTGCTTTCAGATTCCTCCATTTAAACCTTATTAAACCTTTCTCCATTAAGGAGAAATGTATCAATAGGGAAACCGCCTCGGTTGTGCATCTCTAAAATGAGGGTAATAAAAGTACTGACTTCTAGGATTAAGTCAGATAACGCACACAGAGCACATAGCACCACGCCTGCCAATAGCAGGTGCTCAGTGCATGTTTATAAAGGAAAACTTAAAGCTACTTGTTGGTAACGCTGTCTGTCTCCAGTCTTCGCCCAGCCTCTTCTCCCACCTGCCCTCTATGCCCCTGGTTCTAATCTCTACCTCTTGACACTTTGCTTAGGTCTTCCTGGTTGGGGAAATTTTGATATAGGATATTCCCTTGGCTTTGTCAAATAAAATCCAATTTTCCTTCCAGTCTTGGCCTTGCTCTTGCTAGGCAAATTCCCTAATGATACCCATTCTCTCCATTCCCTAATGACCAGATCAAAGTGCACTTCAGGAAGGAGGATCGTATATTAGGCTTAAACTTAATCATAAATTCATACTTTCACCTGGATTAATCAACGGCCCTCTATTGAAAAATCAGGAAGCAGGGGTGGAGGGGGGTAATGTGGTTACTACATTTCCAGCTATGAGGCACTGTGACATTACTGACAATTTCAAGAGTAGAAAACATCCAGGGTACATAAGTCGGCTCAGTTTAAACCCAGTGAAAATACCTTAGCATTAGTAATGGAGCTGTGGCAATCACATAATAAAGGAAAAATATAAAAACCTATACTCTACTCATTTCATGTGTACAATAATACTCACAGAGGCTGGAATAAGCAACCTCCTATCATCCCACAAAATTATAATGCAGCAAACAATATTACCAACAAATCAGTGTAATTATATTGCTACTTTGACCTCATTCCACCCACATACAATGTGCTTCCTTTTATTCAAAGATCTGTTACATCAAGCTAGTTAGTTATGAGATAAAAATAAACACAGCTGGACCTCACTTTTTTCACTTGTTTAAAGATTGGAGTATATATTGTTTTAAGTCCCTTCTAGCTCTAAATGCTCTAGCTTTTCTAGATTTCTTTTCTGTTCTTAGGCTTTTAATGTTTATGTGTAGCTAAATATTTGCTATTTCTAGGTCACGCTCTACTCAAATACACCTTATTTCTGTAAGCACATTAAAAAATGAGTTATTTGCAGAAGCCTGCTAGCTAATCTATGTAGAAGGAATGATAGCATTAGAGAATCATTTTGCTCACTCTACTGGAGCGATTCAGGTAAGTCTCATCAATGGATAATACAAGCTTTAGGTTTGGGTAAGCAAGCTAGGCAACGATGCCAGTGTCAACTCACAGATTATTTACTAATTGAAAATGAGGGGAAAAATGTATCTTTATAATTGAGACAATTTAGTGACAATCATCATATGCTACCACTAATAACTGATGTGAATGAAATACATGGAATCACCTAGGTGGTTTTTAAAAAAAAATGTTTATTTATTTTTATTTTAAAATATTTGGAATGCAGGGGTGCCATCTTGGCTCACTGCAACCTCCGCCCCCTGAGTTTAAGCAATTCTCCTGTCTCAGCCTCTCGAATAGCTGGGATTACAAGTGCTTGCCACAACGCCCAGCTAATTTTTGTATTTTTATTAGAGATGGGGTTTCACCATATTGGTCAGGCTAGTCTTTAACTCCTGACCTCAGGTGATCCACCCACCTAGGCCTTCCAAACTACTGGGATTAAAGGCGTTAGCCACCATGCCTGGTCTCACCTATGAATTTTTCTAGCCAAAAATATTCAACCTGAATCTAATCACACCTCAAGATGTAACTTGTAGTTTACAAGAAATAGAAGACTTAAAGGAAAATGTTAGACAGCTCTTTAAGAAAAAAATCAGAAAAATTCAAAATATAGTACTCCACCAAAGCAGGGCACTGTTTTATATTTAAAAAAACTAAAGGACCATAAAAAACAAATTTAGTTCTTAATCTATGATTGGTTTCAACAACAATAACAACAGTGAAGAGCCATTACAGGTTGGAGGATTCACTGAGGGAATGCAAATATGGCTGGATATTAGATTATATATAATTTTTGTCCATTTTGGGGGTGTTATAATGATAGTATGGCTGTGCAGCAAGCACTTGGGGTGAATTTTCATAATTTGTCCAATTTGCTTTCATAGATAGGTAGATACATAGATAGCATATTAGGTCATTCTTGCATTGAAATTAAGAAATACCTGAGACTGGGTAATTCTACAGAGAAGGGGTTTGGCTCATGGTTCTTCAAGCTGTATAGGAAGCATAGCAGTGACATCACTTGGCTTCTTGGGAGGCCTCAGGGAGCTTTTACTCATGGCAGAAGTTGAAACGGGACCATGAACGTCTTATGGCAAAAGCAGGAACAAGCAGGAGAAAGTGTCAGAAGAAGTGCCATACACTTTTAAATGACCAGGTCTCACAAGAACTCACTATCATGAAGATGGCACCAAATCATGAGGGATCCACCCTCATGAAAAAAACACTGCCCACCAGGCCCCACCTCCAGTTTTGGGGATTACAATTCAACATGAGATTTGGGTGGGGACCATACCCAAACTGTCAGATAGGTAGATGTTAGATAAATGTATCTACTGATAGATCACTAGATAGATAGAAAAAGAAAACAAAAATACAGAAAATTTCACTTACTGAATCCAAGTGGAGAACATACATGTTCATCACACCATTTTTTTCATTTTTCTTAATGTTTGAAATTTTTTATAATAAATAAAATGGGGGAAATATCTCTTCCCCCATGAGAAATAACTCACATGTAAAGGTGAGTGTGCTTCTTTGCTGATGCAGGGGGTACTTCTGACATGGCTCTTAACACTCTGTGGTGGTATAGGGCTGCTTGTCCTCCACTAGATTGTAACCTTCCTGGGGTCAAGCACTAAATCTAATTTACAGTTATATGCCCAGTGTTTGACCTCAGTGCCTTGCATGTGGCAAATGTTTATTGAATTGAATTGAAATTTATGTGTTGACTGAGTGACCAGATAGGCTGATCTAGATAACAACACACTTGTGATACATTAGAAATTTAGTGTTC